GAGGCAGAATGATGCAATGGGAAAAATATTGAATCTGTAGGAAGAAGACCTGGGTTCTCAACACTTGTTACCTAGGGCACCTGGGGTAAGTGACTTTACCTCTGTAATCTTCGGTTTTCTCTGCTGTAAAATGGAGTTGGGCTAGATGGCCTCTGCGGTATCTTAGACTGCTATATCTACAACTTTTAAGGAGGAAGTATATTTGCCAGAATGATCTCCCCAGTGCAGGAAGCCGTGTATGCCAAACTGCTACAAACTCCATTTTATTTTATTTTGTTTTATTTTTTTGTTTGTTTTTTTCCTTTTTGGTGAGGCAGTTGGGGTTAAGTGACTTTCCCAGAGTCACACAGCTAGTGAGTGTTATGTGTCTGAGGCTGGATTTGAACTCAGCTCCTCCTGACTCCAGGGCCGGTGCTTTATCTACCGCATCACCTAGCTGCCCCTTACAAACCCCATTTTAAAGATAAAATGGTCCACAGTAGTGCAAGCAGGTGGTTTTAAGATAGGCACAGGGACTGTGACCTGTGATTTCACTGGCATAGGGAATTTCCAGGTAAGGTTGCTACTTTCTTTGCAAATTCTAGTCTTTATTGTCTATAGCATTGAAAGGTTCCGTGATTTCTCTACAGGCACACAGGGGAAGGGAAGGATATATAAATATGTATATAGCATCTACTATGTGCCAGGCAGTGTGCTAAGCACTTTTTACAAATATTGTCTTATTTTATCCTCACAACAATCCTAGAAGGTGGGGCTCTTATTCTTCCCATTATACAGTTGAGGAAACTGAGGCCAAAAGAGGTTAAATGACTTGCCTAAGGTTACACAGCTGGTGTCTGAGACTGGATTTGAACGCAAGTTTTCCTAATCCCAGTTCCAGTGCTCTATCTACTGTGCTGCCAGAGGCAGGATAGAACTGGAACCCAGATCTTTCTGCCTATGAGGCCATCTCTTTAGCCTGGGAAATGGAAAAGATCCTATAATCATCCCTTTCAAGACGGCATTCTCCCTCCTAAAGGCCTTGTGTCAGTTCTGCTACATGTGGGCGAGCTGGTTACTCAACAGACCTGGGCAGTCGTACAATCAGGTACTCCTGTGAGCTCAGGTGAGCTCTGACTAACCAGGAGTTGTCATATAAACCCTTTTACAAGTAGGAATCACTTTATATACCCTTCAAATGGTCAGCTTACCACCCTAACAGCTTTCTCTTAAAAGGGAGACATAATGGTTGAGCCAATGATGCCTGTTGCTCCATGATCCAGTTCCTGGGCTGTGAGGGTGGGGAATCCAAACAGAAGAATAACTAACATTGACGGGTGTTTCACATCAGTCCCTTCTTGGGGCTTAAGTCTGGAATGGGTCTGAGGAATCTAGATTTAAAGCTGGGAGGTGCGCCGGAGGCTCTCTTGTCCAACCGTCCCATTTTACAGATGAGGAAACTGAGGTGCAAGCTCACAAAAATGGCAGAGTTGGGATTTAAACCCACATCCAGAGAGCACTCTTTCCGCTGCTTTTCCAAGGTTTACGTGACCTAATCATTGGAGCCCCAGACCTTCGCAGGCTCCAGGACCAGGGCTTCAATTATATTGCTGCTTCTACTAAAATCAGTGAAACAGAGCTGGTAGGGATTTGGGGACTGGGGGTCGGAGGAGAGAATTTGATGTGTATCTTAATGATGACTTTCCCTACTTCACTCTGCCCTTTTTTTTTTATTACAGTCTGCCTCCCAGCCTTAATCTACTTGAAACAGCCTAGTTCCTCCTCTTCCTTAAACCCAATGACTTTCTTTTCAGGTCCTTATCCTCATGGAAGATTAGGTTAAAATCCAATATAATTGGCTCTGACCTCAGATTCTCTCTGGTCTGAACTTAACCCTGTTATCTCCCTTGATAAAATGGAAGCTTCTGGAAGCCAGTCAATCAATCAACAAGTATTTGCTAAGTGCCTACTAAATGCAGCTGTGCTAAGCCTGGCAATCTGAAGAAAGTCCAAAAAAGAAAGTCTCAGCTCTCAAAGAAGGGAACAAACATTCATTAAGAGCCTGCTATGTGCCAGGCACTGTGCTAATACTATCTCGTGGCAGCCCCGGTAGGTGGGTGCTATTATGATCTCCATTTGACATTTGAGGAAACCGAAGCAGACCTAGGTTAAATGACTTGTCCAGTTAGTAAGTATCTGAGGCTGGATTTGAACTCAGGTCTTCTTAACTCCAGCTCCACTGCTTTATGCTCAAAGCCACCCCATGGCTACCAGGATTCTGACTATAATGGGGGAGAGGGACGCTTACATTTTTTTTTTCTCTCTGGCACATTGCTTGTTTCTTGATTGACTGATTTCAGCAAGGTGATTGCTAAAGTAACATATTATTTTTGTGGAAAAGATAGGGGATGGTAGGCTGGGTGCCTTGGTCTCAGACCTTTTGGATTCAGCGCTCCCATCAGAATTTTTTTTTTTCCTGGTTGGGTATGTCAGGGTCTTTGTGGGGGAGATTTTCCCAATGGCACCTGTGCAGTTTCTGAAGTTGGGATTAAATTATAAAGGCCCAGGTGGGTTGGTGCCCAAACCAAAAAGGGCGAAGATTGGGAGTTTGCCAAGCAGTAGAGAAAGGCTCGGGGAAGAATTGGGTTGTAATGGTAGGTGTGGCTGCGTAGGAGACTAACCCCGTGATTAGCTGTGGCTGGGAGGGTGGGATTTAATCCATCTTGTCCTTGATTACACACCCTTTGGGGTCGAGCCGCAGTGCTAGGCGAGAGTATTAAATCAGATGGAACTGGTCTGATGGTCAGGCGGATGCAAAGAATAGAAATTGGTTGATGTCAACTTGACAGAGGTCTCAGAGAGATTGTCTGTATGACCTTGAGCACATCTCTGGGCCTCATTTTCCATCTCTACAAAATGAAGGGGGACCGTCTAGGTGCCTGGCGGCGGGGACCTTCCAGTTCTTAGTTTAAATCTGGGCCTGTGACCTCCTGTAGTTGCGTGCTTAGAGCCAAAAGGTATCTAGGAGGAGTCTGGTCAGGGAGCCGCTGAGCTCAGCTACCTGGGAAATGCAAATGGAGGCCTTATCTCTCCTTTTCCCACCCTCCTGCCCGAGATGGCCAGGTCACACTCTTGTCTTTACCTGCCTGCCTCCTTCTGGGCTCTGTGGAACCGGCCACTTTAAACAACCCCAGCTGGCCAAACAGGATGGAAGAATTTAAGGGAAACCCCCAGCCTAGTCCTCCTCTGTCTCCCCCCACCCCCAACCTTCCCCTCCCTCCAAACCCTGTCTTCCATGAAGTGGAAACCCGCCTATCCAATCCTTCTGTGCAAACCGGTTGGGCTATGATCTTCAGACCTTCAAATGTTAAACAGTAACTTTCCTAAGTATGTCGGTGGTAGGGCCAACGTGGGCACTCTTGGGAGCACAGGCCTTGGGTAAATAGAACGATTAGGGAAGGAGATTCTATCCTCCCCGCCTTTTCCTGCCCCTCTAAGCCCTCCAGCTGTTGAGGAGGAAGGACAGCTCAGACGCAGTTATTTTCTTCTCAGATAACAACATCTTAAAGACGAAAAAGAGCTTTGGGATCATAGTCTTAACCTCCAGATTTTACAAGCAAGGAAAAAGGGCCCCACAGAGAAGAAGGGAGTGGTTTGCCCAAAGTCATATAAGTAGGATCATATGATGATGGATAGACCTTAGGAGGCCATTCGGTACAACCCCACTTCTTGGGTTTGCTTTTTGTTTTTTTTTTCAGATGAGGAAACTGAGTCCCAGAGAACAAGTGACAATCTAAGGTAATTATTAGATTAGAGCCAGATTTCCTGACTCCCAGGCCAGGCTCTTTCCAACCAGACTTCCCTGAGGATCTGGGAATTACCACATGCCCCCCACTTCATCTTCCTTGATACTGATAAGAATTAAAATCATGAGCCCATGGATTTTTGAACTGGAAGGGACCTCCAAGGCTTTCTTGTCCCCCTTATTTTACAGGCGATCAGAGTTGAAAGGGACCCTTGAGATTAGTTGAATGCCCTCATTTTGCTGAGGCCGTGGAGCATCTTGAGATATAAAGTGACTTACTCAGTCACAGAGCTTAGTAAATGGCAAAGCCAACATTTGAACCCAGATGCTCTGATCCCAAGGGGCAGCTAGGTGGTGCAGTGGATAGAGTGCCAGGCTTGGAGTGAGGAAAACTCATCTTCCTGAGTTCAAATACAGCCTCAGACACTTAGTAGCTGTGTGACCCTGGGCAAGTCACTTCACCCTGCTTGCCTCAGTTTCCTCATCTGTAAAATGAGAAGGAAATGGCAAACCACTCTAGTATCTTTGCTTAGAAAACCCCAACTGGCATCACAAAGAGTCGCTCTTGACTGAAATGACTCAGTAACAAAATCTCAGATTCCAAGGCCAGTGCTCGTCCCCCTCTACACTATGCTCCAATTTAGTTCTCCAGGCCATTTTATCTTCCTCTCTTAGTACATGAAAGAGGAAGGAAGGGCCAGTTATCAATTGTGTTTGGGGGCTGGAGGGTGGGAGGAGGTGGGCAGAGCTTCTAAGAAGCAAAGCCAGGGTTGTGTAAGGTCCCGAGTGCTCCAAGTAGAAGCAGATCCCAGTGGCTGGGGAGTCTAGGCAAGTCCCCACTCTATGGGCCAGGCTCAGGACAGATCCCTATGTAATTCAGTGGGAGGGCTGGGTATTGGGGGGGGTGCAATTACACGGGTGCCCTGGGACTACTGAGTAGATAATTTTAGGTCAGAATCTCACTGGAAATGCCTATCTCTTTGACTACAAGGTTTAATTGATTGGAATTGTGCTTTAAGAAAAACACACACACACACACACACACACACACACACACACACACACCCCCACCCCCTTTGGTGTTTTCACTTTCATAAACTTGGAGGCTGGCCAGTATCTCCCGGTGAGAGGTATTGCCCTTCATTCTGCCTCATTCCTGATTGGAGATTATTCATTTATGAATGGAAAGCTGTAAAAACTTGTCTCATACATATGAATATTGGACATGGAAATTTTAATTGGGGAAGAGCTCTGCCTTTACCGACAAGGGCTGCGGCAACATGTTTCTAGGGCTGGTGTTGAAAAACTGACTTTTTTTTCTCTTTTTCTCCTTTAAATTTTACTGCTGGCGTTTTCCAAATGGCATTTGTCAAGAGGGCATTAACTGAGCGGACTGTTGGATCCCCTTACAGATCATGATTTTGGAAGGAAGTGGTGTGATGAATCTCAATTCCAGCAACCATCTTCTCCACCAACAGCCGGCCTGGACAGACAGTTACCCCACGTGCAATGGTAGGAGGACCTTGGCTCTGGGTGGGGTTAAGTGCCTGGTACTCTTTCCCCCATACTCAAGTGAGTCCATTCTTTTCACCCTAGGTGACAGTGTCCCGGGAAAGCATTGACTTTTAGGTCAGGTGGGGAAGGTAGAACTTTCGTAAGGATGAATTCCCTTGTGGAATGGTGGCGTCCCCCCAATTGATTCCATTTGGCAATTTTCTCCAGTTGCAGTCTTCCCATCTTGGAGAATAGTGCCTGAGTGGGATCTGTTGAGAGAGAGGTTGGTGGGCCAGGTAGTACCTGAAGGAGAGGTTCATGTTTCAAGTTTCCATCCTTCTTTCTCAATGAAGTCAGGACAGGACAAGGTGGATGGTAGTGGTTGAGGATGGCTCAATAATTCTGTTTAAGAATCTATTTAATCCTTTACTAAATTAAGAGAAAGTAAAGTAGGATAGTAAGTATTTATTCAGCCCAAATATATCATTTTATAAGGGATGAGGGGAGGAAGCTAGGAAGGACTTACGAACACTTATTACCAATTTGACCCCCTAGCTTATTTCTCTACCTTGCTGATTTCTTTTTTCTTTCTTTCCTTTTTTTTTTTTAACAAAAATCATAGTGTTTAAAACAAGAAGGACCGTAGCGATCGTCTACTTCAACTCTGTTTTTATAGATTAAGAAAAGAGTCCCAAAGCCGTTAAATGATATGCCCAATGACATAACAAATAGTAAATAGTGGAGTTACAATTCATAGGATAAGAGGACTAGATTTGGAAGGTCATCTAGCCCCTTTATTTTACCTTTGAGTAAACTGAGGCCTAGAGAAGTTATATGACTTTTCTAAGGTCACATATGTAGTAAGTGGCAGAATGAGATGTTGAACTCAGCTCTCTGAATTTCCATACCACCATAACTAGCCCCTGGCAGGTGGGGATTTAAATTTCCTTCCTGGGTGGGTGGGGATGGTTGTCCTCGCTACCAGCTACTGATGTCCCATCTCTCAAATCATGGCTTTCTGGTTGTATATGTTGCAACCTCCCCTATTCCTCCATTTCCAGGGTCCCTCTGTCATGGTGCATCTTTCCAATCCAATCGTCTTTGCTGGGGAGGGCTAAGGGCCATGTAGCCCTCTCCCAGCTGAATTTACCTCCAAAACAGCTATTCCTTTTGACTTCCAAACCAGTGTTCTCTTCATTCCATGAGATAAATTTGATACTGAACTTGGGGTTCCAATTCCCTTAAGGCCTAAGTATGTCCTAATAATTTTCCAATAGGGGAGGAGGCTCTCAGCCTCTCCAGTACCAACTTACAAACTTGAGGCTTATAATTATGGTCCCACCAAAGAGGTCCTAATATTTCAGGTGGAAATTTTTCTTTTATTATTCAAGGAACATGACCACTCCAGTCTGAGAAAGGAGAGAGCAGTGTGATTGATGGTTATTATATGAGGGCCTTTACTTTCCAATTACCACCCCAGATGTGAGAAGTTCTGGGGGAAAAAAAAAGACTTTGTCTCCTTTCAAACTCATTTGTGACTATTGTGGGGCTAGGGGTGGGGGATCATGGCACACTTTCAAATTCCCCTAGGGGAGTTGCGGAGTGAATCAGAATGTGAATCAGAGTCATACAATTTTGTTGGTATTTGCAGACTGGAAAGCAGTAGAATTTTCCCCAGCTTTATCTATGAAATGAGAAAGTTGAACTCCATTATCTATAAGGCCCCTTCTAGATCCAAATTCTGCAATTACAGCAAGAGGAACAAATTGAGTAAAGAAATAAGTTAAGGGATCAATCATTAGCAAATGTCTCTTAACTCCCTCTCCATACAAAGAGAAGCCCTATGCAATTCAATTTAATCCAATCCAGTGCATCTCCATGCAATGCAATGCAATGCAATCCAGTTCATTTCAGTCTAGTCAGTAAGCGTTTACTTATACTAACTCTGTGCCAGGCACTATACTTACAAAGAAAGGCAAAAACATCGCCTCTGCCTTCAAGGAGTGTCCATTCTAACAGAGAAGACACCATGAAAATAACCAGGTATAAGCAATATAGACGCAAAGAAGAAGGAAGGTCTTCTCAGGGTGGCACCAGCTTCTTGGGCTTGGGAAACATTTGTTAAGAGCTTATGATGTGCCAGGCACTGTTCTAGACTCCAGAGATGCAGTCCCTCCAAGGAGCTTACATTTCCCTGAGACTGTTTGTTGTTTCCCAGTGGCCGAGGGCCCCAGGGACAGCAGGGGTTCTTGGCTATGGGGGGTGGTGAATTGGACGGGACGAGGGAGTCAGGATTATTCCACACTTGCTTCCCTGCTCCAGCAAGACTGCGCAGTGTCCAGGTCTCAGATCATAGCCTCTGCAGACACTCAGTGCACAAAGGAATTGGGGACCACATGCAGTTCTCTGGTTCTTCCCAATAATCAATGGGTGGGGCTTTCTTTGGGGAATCTAAAGAAATTGCCAAGTTGCATTTACTATGTGCTAAGCACTTAATGTGCATTATTTCATTTACTCCTTATATAACAGCCCTGCAAAGTAGGTGCTGTTATTATCTCCATGTTACAGCTGAGGAAACTGAGGCAGACAGGTTAAGAATCACACAGCTAATAAGTATCTGAGGCTGGATTTTAACTTCTTGAGTCCAGGCTTAGTGCTCTAAATACTGTGGCACCTGACTGCTCCAAGGCTAGGCATCAGACTTTTGGTTTTATTGCTATGGGGAATTCCCAAGTGAGTAAACTTCCTCAATCAACACCTATAGCCATAGGAAGTTGCCTCAGACAGTGGGCTTGACTAGAGTCACACAAGTGAATATATCACAGATTTAAAGCTGAAAGGGGCCTTCGAGGCCATTGAGTCTGACCCCTTCATCTTCCAGATGGGGAAACTGAGGTACAGGAAAGTTAAAGTTAAATGTCTTGCCTAGCTTCACCGAGCTAGTAAGTGCCTGAGGCAGGATTTGAATCCAGCCTTCCTGTTGTCAGATTCATTACTCTCTCTACTGCACCATGTTATCTCTAATTTTAAAATGAAAGCTAAAATGGAAAACTAATTTTGGAGCTACACCGAGAAGTAGGACTCATTCCCAGAAGCCACGTTTACACCCTAGTCAAGTGGGTGAAAACTCTTTGAAATGGAGTCCATCATCTGGGTGCTGGGACATTCTGGATCTCCTCAATAGCTGAGTATTTCGGTGGCGTTTCCCCCCCCCCCCCCCGCACCTGCTTCTTTGGGTGGAGTCATGAAGTCTTCACCTTTCAATGGCATCCAGGACTGTTCCTTCACAAAATGGCGTGCCAGGGGTTCCCAGAGCACATTTACTTTGCTGCCTTTGCACAGACTCTCCCCCCCCCCCCCCCCCCGCCCATGCCTGGAATGTTCCCTCTCCTGATCTCTGCCCCTTAGCATTGCAGGCTCCCAGCATGGCACAGATGAGGGGTCCCCCCTCTCCCTCCCCATTCTTAATGTTCTCTCTTTCATGAAATTACTTAGTGTTTACTTAACTAAGCACATTGTTTTCCATTAGCAGAGTATAAGCCCCTTGAGGGCACAGGCTGTTTTGATTCTGGTCTTTGTACATCTCCAATACCAAGCACAGTGCTTGACTCATTTATTGAATTGAATTTTGGAAGCTGGAATCCATTTTAAAAAAAACAAGATATTTGGAGCTGATTTCACTTTGGAAAGGAACAGGGAGCCTGGGATTGAGTGGAACTCCCATCATCATGGTGCCCATTTCTGGTATCCAGAATCTTTTGTCCCCTCAATCAGTCTGATGTCCATCCTTCCAAGGTTGCTGAGATCAAAGCAAAGGAATTGGAATCAATCAGTCAATCAAAAAGGATTTATTTAGCACTTGTTCTGTGCTAAGTTCTGAGGGACAGAGAGATGACTGTAGAGCCTTAAAGAAGCTCTCATTGGCCATTGTCTTTGGGCCTACAGAACCATGTCACAAATGTAAGCCATGTCACAAATAACATGGCCTGGACCCTTGTACTTCAGAATCACAGACAGAAGAGCTGGATGGGACCCCCAAGGTCTTGGGCAGCTGTTCGATGTCATCCCCCATAATATCACAAACCTTGTCTTCTGGTTTGGGACTTGATCCTTTGGGAATAATTTCCCAATGTAATTTTCTTTCCCAGTGTTTGGGGTTGGCTGCTTAGATTCCCTCCTCTCTAATTTTGGGGGTTACAAATGGACCTCCTCAATCTGAATATAAAAGACAGTCATCCATCGGCTGCTCCTTGTCACGAGAAGGGTTGAATTTTCTAACCCTCCTTATATTCCTTGGAGGGAACGCTCCACTCCTTTCTCCAACAAAGTAACCCCAACATGCAAAGAGAAAATGGGTTTGTTTGTAGGATGGACTCAAATTATCAAGAGAAAGACATGTACCTGGAATGGTTTGAGGTCACAGTGGGCCCAACATACACTTTATTCAGTTATTTTCAGCTATTTCCGACTCTCCCTGACCCCATTTGGGGTTTTCTTGGCCAAGATACTAAAGTGGCTTGCCATTTCCTTCTCCAGCTCATTTTACAGATGAGGAAACTGAGGCAAACAGGGTGAAGTGACTTGCTTAGGGTCATATAGCTAGTAAGTATCTGAAGGCAAATTTGAACTCAGGTCTTCCTGACTCCAGGCCCAGAGCTCTATCCATTGAGCCACCTAGCTGCTCCAACATATCCTTATTAAATTCATTTGGCCCAGCCAGCTTTCCTATGGAGAGCTTTCCCACAGTGAAATTTTTGTGAATTAGACTTTTGGTAAACAAATACGATGTAGGATCATAATTAGATTTAAAGCTGAAGGGACATTGAAGACCATTTGATCCAACTCTTTCATTTAGATTGTTCAGTTACCCCTAATTATACCTTTTTAGCAAAGAAAGAAGGAACATCCCTAACGAGGATACTTGTAGGCATAACTGTAAAGCCCCAGTGAACGTCCTTCTGCTACACCTCCTGGGTTTGGAAGGGACCTAGCTTCTCAGAAGCTAGGCCATATGCCACATGCCACATGCCAAGCATTCTGTCAAGGGCTGGGAATACAAAAACCTCCAGAAGCTTACATTGTCTTAGAGAATTCACTTACACCCATGTAAAGAAGAAGAATATGCTGAATATCCCAAGCACATATTCACACCCCAATTTTGACACGTATTGGTTGTATGACCCTGAGGACGTCTCTTCATATTCTGGTGCTCATCTAAATTCTTTAAGACCATAAAGTTTCAGAAGGTTTCAACCTGCATTGGAAGAGGGCATTTATTTCTTCATCCAGGAATTCCCTTTGCCATTAAAATCACAAGTCTTATCCTTAGCCCTATCCCTATCCCGATTCTCATCTCTTGGAGAAGGAAATGGCAAAGCACTCCAGTACCTTTGCCAAGAGAACCCCAATAGGGCATCAGGAAGGGTCAGATATGACTGAACAACAAATTCCTATTTCTATCTTTATCTCTATTCCTGTCCCTGTCCCTATGTCTATCCTCACTCCTATCTCTATCCCTAGCCATAATCCTCTTTAACACTCTCCCTCTCCCTACATCTTAGTGTATATGTATATATGTGCATACTTCTTCATACATGCACATGAACACGAAGAGTAAATACAGGATAATTTTAGGAAAAGGTGAGGTCCTAGCAACTGGGGCAGGAGGGGAGATAAGGAAATACTTCCTATAAGAGGTGTTACTTGAGCTAAGTTTGGAAGAGAGCTTGGGTTTCTAAGAAGCAAGGATGAGGAGGGTGTGTAATTAGGGTCCATCGACTGTCATGTATGAGGAAGAGCACAGGAGGCCAGTCTGGCTAGAACACAGGATGTGTGAAGGGATAACCAGTCTGGTTGGGTAGATAAGAGGCAGCCAGATTTTGAAGGGGCTAAGATACCGAATAGAGAAGTCTGCATTTTATCCTGGAGATGCCAGGAGGTCAGCCGGTGAAGCTTCTTGGGTAAGAGAATAACCCGGTCAGATCTATGCTTCAGGATATTAGTTTGGCCATGGTGTAGACAATGGATCTAGACTATCTGGAGAGCTGAGTCAGGAAGTCTTAGCATGTAGGTTAGATGTTTGTGTCCTTTGACCAGTAAGTCCTGGATGCCAGTAGGGTCATGAATGTTCCAGCCACAGCAGCTTTCAAAGGTTATTACCAGGCTATGAAGAGGTTGCAGTCTGTACTGGGAAGGGAATCCTCACGCTGACTAAATTGCAGGTGCTTGGAGTATTTAAGTCAGTATTCAAAGTAAATTATGGGATCCTAGGTCCTAGACCTCGCATTGGAAGGGATCTCAGAAGCCAACCTCCTCATTTTACAGATGTGGAAACTGAGGCTCAGAAAACTGGATACAACTGCTGCCAGCCTCGCATTGCAGAAGCTCTGACACACTTAGGCACAGCGAGAAGATTAGGTGATAATGTGTACACTCCAGGTAAATGGCAGTTATGAAAAATTCACCCCAGCATTCAAAAAATTCAGTAGCCAATGACATAGTTGTTCCTACCAAAATAAGTGGGAGGGAGAGCTAAGAGCTGTGTTTGGAAAAAGCAAGGAAGTCTTAGTCAGAGGACTGGATACCCCTCTCAGAATCATTCCAATCAATCAACAAGCCTTTATTAAGCGCTTACTGTGTGCCAGGAAAACTTTGGAAGGAGAAAGACAAACATGAAACTGTCCCTGCCCTCAAAGACCTTACATTCAAATGCCAACATGGCTTTGGTGGAAAATGGAGTGATGCAGGGGTGTGTGTGTGTGTGTGTGTGTGTGTGTGCGCGCGCGTGTGTGCGTGTGCGTGTGTGTGTGTGTGTGTGTGTATGCATGCACACTTGCTAATTACTGGGTCTGTGATTAAACAGCTGCTGAAAATATAATCACGTTTTCTGCTTAGCTTCCTTCTAAGGAGCTCTGAACAAGGTGTCATGTCTCTTGTCCTCATAAAATTCCCTGGGAATGACAGAGGTGGGAAAGTATTATTAGACCCATTTTCCTGGGAAGGAAGTGGAGGTACAGAGAGGAGATGAGTTTGACAGGCTTTCCAGAGAGCCAGTGGTCCAGCTAGGCTAAGAGTTCAAATCTCCAACTCCGCTGTTTTTGGCTTGCAGAAATTTGGTGTTTTAGAGCAGATGGAGTGCTGAACTGGGTGCCAGGAAGACCTAGGTTCCTATTCCTGTCCTTGATACTTAGTAGCTGTGTGCTATAGGCAAATCCATTAACCTCTCTGAGTCTTAATTTCCTCATTTAACAAATGAGGGTAAAAATAATACTTGTAGAATCTGCCTCATAGACTTGTGTAATGATCAAATGAAACACTTATGCAGAACACATTATTTAATTATTTTAACCCAATTAACACAGGTTACTCTCCCTCTCGCCTCCCTCCAAAATTATAAAAAAAAAAAGAAAAATGGAACCTTTTAAACCTGTGTAGTCAATCAAGACTAATACTACTGTTGGCCATGTCCAAAAATGTATATTTCATTCTGTGCAGAGCACTTTGTAAACTTTAAGAAGCTATATAAACACTAGCAGCTGGGGGAGGAGGGGAGATGTTGTTGTTATTTATGCCTGTATGTCTGTCCAGGTGCCAGACCAACTCCTATCCACTCCCCCCCATGTTGCCCATGCACCCCCCTCCAACCCACTACTTTTAGATGTGTTTTCTGTTAATCTGTTAACTCAGTACAAAAATGATTCCATAGTCATCACCCTGCCTCGCTCCCAGGTCACTCACTGGATCTCCTCTTTTTTCAGTTTCCAGTGGGTTTTTTGGAGGCCAGTGGCACGAGATCCATCCCCAGTACTGGACCAAGTACCAGGTATGGGAGTGGCTTCAGCATCTCCTGGATACCAATCAGCTTGATGCCAATTGCATCCCCTTCCAGGAATTCGACATCAACGGGGAACATTTGTGTAGCATGACCTTGCAAGAGTTTAGCCGAGCAGCGGGGGCGGCCGGCCAGATCCTCTATAACAACTTGCAACATCTCAAGTGGAATGGTGAATACACTCCTCTCTCCTCGCTCTATTCCCATCTCCTGTGGGCTCTGCTAGACACATTGGGAGGGTGCATGGCTCTGGGAGAAAGGATTCTTTGGCAAAGAGGACCGAGATTGCTTTTACTTCTGTTTTTCTAGGAAAAGAAATGGCAAGGAATGGAATGGGAGGCAGTGTAGATGACTTGAGATGGTCTCTTTCCTATCCTTTCGAGTTCAGAAGATTCAACTCCCTTCTCATCTCACTGCTAAATTTTCATGAAAATAGTAGCAGACTAGCCATCCCTCCAAGTCACAGTTTCCTTTAGGAACCCCTTAAAGCGAACTCAGACAGTGAACCCATCACCAGCTCATTTGTTAAAATTTAACACAACTGAGGTTGATTCTATTGCCAATTTGAAAGCCAGCCTCAAATTTTTCACTATGAAGCCCCTGTCCAAGAGCTGTGTGTATTTATGCTTTTTTGTCTTTGGAGCCTTGGGCATAGGTAAACATCAGTATAATTCCAATCAATAGGGCTGGAGGTAGATAGAGAGTTGGCAGGTCATCTAAACTCATTTTACAGATGAAGCAACTGAGTCACAGAGAAGCGAAGTGACTTGCCTGAGATCCCACGGGTAATAAGTGGCAGTCAGATTGTAACCCAGGATAGCTGACTTCCAATCCAGTTCTCCCACCACATCAGGCTGTCTCTCAATCCAGTCCAACAGGCATTGGCCAAGCCTTACTAGTGTGTAGGACACTACCTCTCAATTCACTCCAGTAAGCATTTACTAAGTTCCTGCTGTGGGCAGGCCACTGCCAGGCGTACAAAGACAGAGAGAAAAGCCGGGAGTCCCTGCCTTAATCATCTTGGGTTCTACCAGCTTGTGATCTCTTGGCTACCTAAGATACTATAGAGTATTAATACCTCAACGAGAGGTTCCCTATAGAATAGAGATAGCCTAATATTCGTATTTCCAAACACTGATAGAAAAGTGTCTTGACTGTTTTTAAAGGGGGTAAAGTGAAGAGCAGTGAAGCTGAAATCACAGGGCCTGGGTTCCAAACCCAGGCTTTCTTTCATCTGCTATCTATTCGACCTCAGGCAAGTTGCTTATCTGGATCCTCTGTTTTCTTATCTGTGACATGAAGGAGTCAAACTGACTACATGACCTCCAATCCAAGGTCCCTGCCAATCTGAAATGTATAATCCTAAGAGTTCTTTCCCCTCCCCCTTTAAAATTGTTTATTGCTACCTTTTGATTTTATATCCCTTTTATTTCCCAATGTATCCATCTCCTCCCAGAAGACCATTCCTTAAAACAAACAAAAAAAAAATGAAAGGAAAAAAAAAGTTCAACAAATCCAACCAACGTATTGGAAAAAGGTCTACTGCAATCGGTCACATTCTATGCTCAGTCTGCCTCTCCTCCACCTCTGCAGAGAAGCAGGGGTCTTATTACTTCTATTCAGCAAATATTGATTGTCTGCCTGCAAGATGCTTTTGTTAGAGGCTTCCTGAAACAAAGAAGCAAAAACCAAAAACCAGTCCCACCCTCAAAATGCTTACATTTTACTGGACTTAAAACCCACGGTTTAAAAATTTATTTATTTTTCCCACTTAAGAGTATTTTATTTTTTTCAATTACATACAAAGATAGTGTTCAACATTTACTTTTATAAGAGTTTGAGTTCCAGGTTTTTTTCACCCTCTCTTCCCTTCCCCTTCCCCAAGATGACATTCAATCTGATATAGGCTTCATGGTATATTTATTTATGTGTCATTCAAAGCCAGAAGGGATTATACTGGGATTCACTAGTCTAAAGACATCCAACATTAAAAACCAAGGACTCCCAAGTAACATGCGCTAAATGAGCTCCTCTCTCCAAGCCTGTGGGGGAAGACCTAGCCCCAAAGGAGAGGGAATTGATTCCTTGTTAATGGAACCTTTGGGCTGCTAAACTGGGCATTTGGAAGCAACGACTCCTCAGATAGGAAGGATATTCAGACTCTTGACAGCTGCCATCAGCACTGAGAAGGAACTTGAGAGCCGAGCGAGAGAATGTTGGTGTCAGTTCAGGAACATTCCACCCCAGCCAGGCCCCACCGCCATTTTGGATGAGCTCATCTGTCAGTCCCTCATTCCTTTGCACCCAGCTCATGATGGTTGCTCATTTCATTTATTTTTTTACTAGAACCAAACCAAACAAAACACTAAAAATAAACCTGAGGACTCAACCATGGCAGTTGAAATAAAAAGCCTTCCTTCCCCTCCCTGCCCCCCAGTTAAAATCCACTTTTTTCAAGCCTTGGCCTGACTGAAGCCAGGGGATATCATTATGTCATAGATTTAAAAGCTGGAAAGGACCTTAAAAGTCATCAAGTCCAACCCTGTCATTTCATAGACGAGGAAAATAAGGTCCAGGTATATTCAAGAATGTGCCCAAGGTCATACAGATAGTGGCAGAGCTGGGATTTGAGCTCAGGTCCTCAGACTCCAAATATAGTGCTCTTTCCTCTGAACCCCACTGCCTGCCTATACTTGACCAATCTGTGACTCCAGTGTGGTTGCTGCCTTTGAGCTGACAACGGTCGCTTATGATGGTTGTGTTTCTCATTGGGTTTTGCTTTTCACCCATTAGGAGAAAATAAATTTACCAGACAATCGCTTGTGAAATCACCACTGTGTGCCTAGCCCGGTGTTGGCACCTTGTGGGAGGAGGCAGAAGAGGTAGCCGGTTCAAGCTTCTATTGTGCCTGCCCCTGAGGCACTAACTATGTAGTTGGGGAAACAGGACTAGAAAGCAAGTTGTCCTCAAGCTGGGAGCCAAGTTTGGGGTCCAGGTTCCTTATTGATAGAAAAGGTAACTGAGTCCCAAAGAAGTTAAGTGATTTGCTCAAGGTCATACAGCAAAATCTGGATTCAAATCCACCCCCTCTGACTCCCAATGCACGTCTCCCCCTTGGCACCTTGCTCTAAGACACTGCATCAGACCTTGCTTGTGAGTGCAAATGGAGTTCAGAACAAGGCAATAATTATTCGGTTCATCCAGATATAACTCGAGGCTGTGTCTACACACAAAACAGATTTGATCCAATTTAGAAAAAGAGGAATGCCAACCTCCCCCCACTCTCCGTCGGTTAGTTCTTCTTTCTCCCTCATCCCAGTTTTTCTCATTGCAATATTAGCAACTTAATATAGGGTGTCGTATATTGGACTTGGCCTCAGGAAGACCTGATCTAAGCAAGCCATCTTGGAACCTCAGTTTCCCCAGCTGTAAAATGGGCATTAATAACACCTATAAATATCTCCCTCACCATGTGACTTCAAGGCTAAATGAAGTATGGTGTATAAAGTACTTTACAAACCTCAAAGTACTGCACAGATGTTAGCTATTGGCATCACCATTATTATTATTAATACCCATTTTGTCTTCGTGTAAATGAAGAATTACACTCTTAACTCTAACCCTAACCCAATACCAGGGATACAAAAACAAAAAAGAAACTTTTAGCCCTGCCCTTAGGGAGTTTTCATTCTATAGGGCTTACATTCTAAGTAGTGAAGTGAAGTGAATCTCTTCTTAGGGTTGTGGAAGCTGGAGAAATCCAGGCTACCCAAACTCAACTGTTCTAGACCAATCCACAGGGCAATGTAATTCAGAAGGAAGGAAGCGAAAAGAAAGGAAAGGAAGGGAGTGGAGGGAAAGAGAAAACAAAAGAGGGAGAGGGAGGAAGGAAGGAAAGATGAAAGGGAGGGAAGAAGGGAAAGAACAAAAAGAGAGAGGGAGGGAGGCAGGAGGGAAGGACAGTAGGAAGGAAGGAGAGGGAGAAGGAAAGAAGGGAGGAAACAAAGAAAAGGGAAAAAAAGCAAGGAAGCCTTTATTAAGTACCTACTATGTGTTAGACACTGTGCTTTTTCATTTGGCAAATATTTATTAAATGTTCTGTGCATTGATATTCTCTGGATATCAGGAGAACAAACATATTGGCGTATTGGGTGGATTCCATAAGGATATGGACAAGAGTTGCCCAGGATGGAGGTACAGGCATGGATGGGTTATGCTGATCTCTTTCAGTGGAGGGAATCCATTCCCATGAATGAGATCACAGATCCCTCACAGTGTGGGAAGACTATGTGCCTGGTTCAAGGAGACAAGATAAAAACCACCATCTGAATGTGAGATCGACCACTTGACCATAAAGTGTTTCCTTCAGCTCATCCCTCTGCTTGCCGTCCCATTCTTTCCTCTCCCCAGAGTCTACAGGTGTCTAATGTAGGACCATAAAACCATAGATTGAAAGCTAGAAGGGACCTTGAAGACTATCTAGTTCAATTTTTTTATTTTACAGATAAGAAAACTGAGGTTCAGAATGGCTAAGTGAGTTTAACTTCCTCATTTTTAGGAGGAGGAACTGAGGTCATTCAGGTAGCAGTTAGCAGAGCTGGGGTTCCAACTCTGGTGTTTCATTAAATTCAATGCTCTTTCCACTGGAATATACTGCCCTCAAGAAGTCTCCATTCTACTGGAGCATACAGGATATGCACAGATAAGTCACTAGAAGTGCTTTCATGAGGACAGAGAGCCCTCCAAGGGGGTTGATTGCCTGCATCAGTGGGAGCTGTGGAGGCCCCCTGAATAAACACAAGAAGGGCTCAGGCAGGTGGGCTGTTCACTGAGGTCCGGACTCTCAAACTGTCCAGGTGTCCTAAGGAATTAGGGCGCAGTCAGAATCTTGAGCTTGGGTTCTCTCCCTGGTCCCCCATCATTTTAACTTTCCCAAACCATCCTCCGCAGGTCAATGTAGCAGTGACCCGTTCCAGTCCACCCACAATGTCATCGTGAAGACAGAGCAAGCAGGTGAGCATCACTGGTGGAGAGACCCCTGCAGAGAGGGATCAGTGAGAGAGAAAGAACTTTAAGAAAAAGAGCTGACGTTTATATTGTGGTTCAAGGTTGGCAAAGTACTTTCCATAAATTACCTCACTTCAGCCTCATGAGAGATGGGTATTATAGCTGTTATTATTGTTGTTCAGTCCTTTCAGTCATGTCTGATTCTCTCTGTGACCCTATTTGGGCTTTTCTTGGCAAAGATACTGGATTAGCAACCTCATTTTACAGATGAGGAAACTGAGGCACGGAGAGGTTCGGTGACCTACCCAAGATCACATAGGTGGCAATCAACAGAGCTGGAGTTCCATCCCAGGTCCTCTGACTTTAAATCGTAGCATCCCAGATTAGTCGGGGGCCAGGGGAGAGGGAAGAAGAACCCATCACTGGCTTCAGTGGGCACCCATGTTCCAGGCATCCAAGGCCAGAATTTGGCCCTCGGGTGCTTTTGTGAATCATGCAGGATAGAAACTGGCCCAGTGCATGTATTTACTCCTTTACCAGATGGCTACTCCCTGAATATTAAAGGCAAAACCAAGAGTAGCTAAGCACATTAATTAGGCTTTGCTGGGCATCCCTATGTATGGATTCTCCAGGAGTTTAAACCTCTCCCTTCAGTGACCCCACAGGCACCCTCCTCAAGGATCCAGGGGGAATTTTTCCTTCTTGAGCACCCCAACTTTCTTGTGGCACTAGCTCAGGAGAGTGGAGCCAAAGAGTGGAAAGGCTGGTCCATCCTTGGAGGGGGATGAGAAGGTGCCGAGACGGGGCTACGCCCCCAAACCTCCTGGGCTGGCTTTGCTTTCCAAAACAACAGATGTATGGGGTGACCAAACAAGGAGAGGGCGTAACCCAAAGAGCTGGAGTTTGGGGTGCCCCAACACGTACCTCTTAGGTAGGATACCAGCTAAATCCCTATGTCGTAAACAGGACTTAGGCAGTGAGTCAGATTGCGTACGATTTATGCAGTAAAAACAAAATGAAGATCTCAAAGGATTATAGACTTAGAGCAGGAAGTCCATCAAGTCCAAACCCCTCATTTGACAGATGGGGAAACTGAGGCCCGGAGATGGGACGACATGACAGACCAAGGTTACATGGACAGTTGGGATTCAAATCCAGGTCTTCAGAGTCGAAACTCAGCTCTCTTCCCATCTCACCAGGCTAATTCTTCTGGCAGGTGTAGGCTTTCCATTTGGGAACAATATAAATATTCTTTAACATGGGGTGGTGGGGGCTCATGGGAGAGGTCTTTTCATATTTCTAAAGCCAGGAAAATAAATACATTAAGATATCATCCTAATTAGTCGCTGGCATTAATGGAGCTCCAACGACTGGAAGGGGAAGTTTCTTTTTGGAGGCCAGCCAGGAGTTGGGGGGATGCTATGGGGTGAGGCTTCACTTTGGGTGCTGAAGGGGAGTTTATCTTTGATTCAGAAATTTAAAGGGACATTCAGAGCTGAGAAGCGGTACCTCTCAGGCCCCAAATCCGCTGTATGGGAAAAGGACGTCCCAGCTCTTTCTAGGACTGATACACTCAGCCCCCAATATTTTTATTTGCTTTCACAAACTCTTCTCTTCCTTAAAATGCTGCATAGCGTAGGTGGATTCACTTTTTTTTTTAATTAAAAGGGATTAAGATTAGTTTCATTTTGAAAAAAATCCTGATACCCCTGAAGCTAACTGGAAACACTCAGAGATGTCAGCAGACTGGCTGAGGATCAACGGACTCAGAATGAGTGCAATGCAATTACAAGAAAACATATCATTTTGTAAAGACCACTACTCATTAATTATACAAATTTGTCCTGGAAAAGTTACCCTTACACCCTCTCCCCACCCTCACGTGAAACTATAATAATAATTATTTATGCTCAGAAGAGGATAGAGTGTGGTGTGCTGGGAAGCTGGTCAGGAGATACTTGAATGAATGAAATGAACAAAAAACACTTATTAAGTAATTATGATGTGAAAGGCACCGTGGCACGTGGCATAGAAATTTGGTCCTGGAGCCAGCAAGACCTGGGTTCAAGTCCTGTTTTTGATACCGATGGGGCTTGTATGACTCTGGCCAAGTCACTTACCGAGTTCTAGACAATTCTCTAAGATAGTATGTTTCAGAGATGGTGGCAATCTACATTGACAGAGAGGCCAGTTCTCTCATCTGGGCATTCCCTATAATCAATAATCCAGTCCCTATCCTTATGTATTGAGCACTGTGTTAGGTGCTAGTGATATGAATACAAAAAGACAGGCAGTCCTGCCCTCAAGGAGCTTATGTTCTAACGATGGAGACAAAACATAGAGAGGATTGGTGGCCAGGGGAAAGCATTATGATCTCAAAAGTCACAAAGCTGGTGACTTCACAAAAGTTTTTTTCTTGCCCCCCCGAATTCCCCCCTTTTTCTTTTTCCTTTCAGATCCTTCCATCATGACCACTTGGAAAGAAGATAATTTTTTATATGATGCCAACTATGGTAGCACAGTAGGTAACTACCATCCTACCATTCGAGTCATTTTCAAATTACCCACAATGCCATTTTGAAAGGGGGCAGCTTCTAAACTTCCTGTTGTCTTTCTTTGATTTAGAAATGGTGGACAGCAAAACCTTCTGCCGAGCTCAGATCTCCATGACAACCACTGGCCACCTCCCAATTGGTAAGATAATCAATTACATCTCTGAGTCAAACGCTCTGATTCCCTTTGCTTCTTAAGAATGACTGGCATGCCAGGTCTCACTCTCGATGTAGTTTTCCTTATGGAATTGGCTCCCACATGACTTGGGGAAGGGCAGTTATTTCAAAAGAGATCTCTAATATTCAGAGCAGGTGAATTCTAATGGATTTGTTAGTCTTGTGAGTTGACCTCTCCTTTCTTTGTCCTTCTCCCTACGCTAGCTGGTCTCCATTGTCATTATGCTCTCCTCCCCCCCCCCCCCCCCATATCTGTTCTGAGCAAAATCTGCTGCTTGCAGCAAAGAATTTCATAAAAGCAAAGTATAAATTAGGGCAACATTGAATGTAATGTCTCAACGTCTGCATTTTAGGGAGAATCAAAGTGTAGGGAAGCCTGCCTGCCATAGTGGAATGAATACTAGGGTTTGGAGTCACAGACCTTGGGTTCCAGTTCCAGTTTCACAACTTACCCATGGGACCTTGATCCCTTCCCCCACCCTTCACCTCCCCATAAAACGAGGAGATTGGATGAGGTGGCCTCGAAAGGCCCTTTCAGGCTTAACATTCTTTGAGTGTGTGAATGCCTTAAGCCAAAGGATTGAATCTCAGCTTGTGGAATTTCAGTTATAAGCAAGGTATTTGTATTGTAGGTGAGGGGCATAATAGTTTTGTATCAACTCTTGGAATCACCCCAACAGGGGTGGCTGCCAACTCTGCCTACTTTCAGAGCCAGCCCCGATGCCTTATTAGTCATTACCAAAGGTGCTTATAATGCAGTAGTGCTGAGCACAGTGTGTTGCTGATATTAATAGCTTACATTTATATAGTGCTTGCTATGTGCCAGGCACTGTGCTAACAGCTTTGCAATTCATAATAATTGTCTGTATCCTCATGTATCCTTACAAGAATCCTCAGAGGTAGGCACTATTCTTATCTTCATTTTACAGATATGGAAACTGAGGCAAACAGAGATTTAAGTGACTTGTCCAGGGTCACATTGCTAGGGAGTGTCTAAAGCCAGATTTGAGCCCAATCTTTTCTTACTTCTGGACACTGGACCACCTAACTTAACATATGTCCGTAAGTCCCCAGATCTATCAGCTATGTGGGTGGGTACCAAATGAAAAAATGCTCGGTAGTGGGGAGAGGGGTTAGTCTTAACACATGGATGTGCATTGACTTGTAGAACCTACCACAGAATCATAGAATCTCAGAATTTAAAGAGATTTCAAAGGTCATTTAGTCTTACCCACACTTGAATAGAAATCCCATTTTAGACACTTATTAGCTGGGTAAATTACTATGCAACAGCAACAAAAACAGCAACCCACCCCCCCAAAAAAAACCAACCAAACAAAACTCTCAGGGCCTCAGTTTCCCCATCTGTAAAATAAGATATTTGGACTCAATGCTTTCAGCTCTAAATCTATGACCCTTTCAGCCTTTCTGATAATACATCATCTCATCCTGCCTCTATTTAAAGCCCCTCAGCCATAGAGGGGATGTTCCTTTTCAAGGCATCCCATTTTACGGCTAGAGAGAGCTCCCATTTCCCTGTATCATCCATTTCTTTCTTCTCTGGGGCCGAGCAAGACTAGTCTGGCCCCTCTTCTGAATAGACGTCAGCCCACCAAACACGTAAAGACCTTTCTACCTTCACTGGGTGCCTTCTCTGTCTTGTCTTTTATCCATTCCCCATCTCCAAATCCTCCCTGCTGATCTTCATGGTACGGGCTCAGGATGTCTGCTGGTTCTGCTTGCCCTCCTTGGGATGCCACCCAGCACCGCTGTGTGCCATTATGGGTCTTTGTCTAGGCAAACTGGAGAGATTAAACAGATAGCCTGACCTTAGTCCCTTAAGCCACGTGCTTACTTGTGTGTTTGTTCTCAGGGGCACGAGGCTTGCTCAGACCAAAGGAATGAGAATGAAAGTTAGCCAAATTAGCTGCCCCATCTGTGAATCTATGATTCCCTCCTAATGAATCCGACTTGGGGTATTTCATTCAATTTCCATTCAGCAAAGTTTATTAAGGGCCCATTTTGTGCAAGACTGCACTAGGCACTGGGGGTGCAGAGATGAAAATTAACTGGTCTTTGCTTTCAAGTCACTAGGACTACCTTCTCAGGGTGTTGGGCTCGATCAGATACGTACACAGATAAGTAGTGTCCAAGGTGGGCAGTGATGGCGGCCAGCAAAGTGATCAGACCAAATGGCTCTAGAAATATTTGTGGGAGGAATGAGGGGTCATTCAGCTAGGGAAATCTGGGAGGGCTGCCTGGAGGAAGGAGAGAGAGAGGAGGATTCTGAAAAGCAGAGGAGGAAGGAGTACATTTTAGTCAAGGGCATTGAGGCAGAAAATCAATCGATAAGCCACTAAGTGTTTTTTAATTCAATTTTTTTCAACAAGCATTTGTTAAGCACTTACTATATACCAGTTTGAGGATACAAAGAAAAAAAAGTGAAATATTCCTTGCCTTCAAAGGGCTTGCATTCTAATTGGGGAAACTAAAAAAAAAAAAAAAAGATATATACAGAATAGGTAGAAGGTAATCTTGAGAGGGAAAGGGGCTAGCAACATATTTTACAGATGGGGAAACTGAGGCACCAAGCGGTTCTTGGATTTTTTTGTTGTTCTTGTTGTTGTTGCATAGTAACTTACCCAGCCAATAAGTATCTAAAATGGGATTTCTATTCAGGTGGGGGACCCAAAAAGGCCTCCTTTCCTGCAGAAACTAAGCCTTGGGAAGCAGTGTGATTTGGCACTGGAAGAGCTGGGTTTAAATCTTGCTTCAGACATTTAATGTGTGACCCTGGTCACATTACCCTCAATTACATTTATTTTTTTTTTTAAGTTTTTTTTAGGCAATTGGGGTTAAGTAACTTGCCCAGGGTCACACAGCTAGTAAGTGTCAAGTGTTGGTCTGAGGCCGGATTTGAACTCAGGTCCTCTTGACTTCAGGGCTGGCACTCCATCCACTGCACCACCTAGCTGCCCCCTAGAGTTGTTTTTTTTTTCTTTTTTTTCTTTTTTTAAGGCAATTGGGGTTAAGTGACTTGCCCAGGGTCACACAGCTAGTAAATGTCAAGTATTTGGTCTGAGGACAGATTTGAACTCAGGTCCTTCTGACTTCAGAGCCGGTGCTCTTATCCACTGCTCCATCTAGCTGCCCCCCTCAATTACATTTAGCCTCAGTTTCCTCACCAGAATAGCACCTACCTCACAGGTTTGTTGTGAGGATCGGTTGAGATATTATAGGTCAAGTACTTTGTAAGCTTTAAAGTGCTTATAATGCGATACTGTTGCTGTTGTAATTATTGTTTTGGTATTAAAGGAAGCCAGAGATTCTGGGAGGTGGAGGTTAGGAGGGAGGGCATTTCAGGTATGGGGTCAGCCAATACACAGGCTGGGAGACTAGAGATGGAATATTTGGAGTCCAGTTTGACCCAATAGCAGACTATAGGAAGAAGACATAATAAAATCAGGCTTTAGAGAGAGGTTGGGATGAGACTGGGGAAGGCCTTGAATGCCAGGTGAGGAGGGTGTGTTTCAGTATAAGAAGACCACGAAGTGACTGTCCCAATTCCCCTCCTACTTCCAGAGAGACCCAAAGGTGGTAATAGAGCAAAGAAATGCATTGGTGCCAGGTTAATGTACAGGGTTTAATTCTCATGCAATCTCTGCCAGGACTTTTCCCAGGTAATGTCTTTAGATAAGCTTTCCAAAGTCACAGCTGGGGTACTGGGGTGGAAAAACTAGTGGGTGGGGAATCAGAGGTCTTGGCTCTGCCCCAGGTCTCATTCTTTGCAGCAAGGATGTTAGAGGAATCTGCGTTTCGTGGAAGGTGTACCCCCAAGGCTGTCCCTTGCATCAGCCTCTCAACATGCAATTGTTAAGGCACTGTGCTAGGCACTGGGGTTACAAAGACCAAAATGAAGCAATCCCTGCCCTCAAGGAACTGACTTTCTATCGGGGGAGATGCCATGTACATAGAATATTTACAAAATAAATACAAGGTAATTTTAGGGGGAGGAGGTGGGGGGTGGGGAGCATACTAGCTTGAAAACCAGGAAAGGCTTCATGCAGAGGATGGCATTTGAGTAGTTTTGAGGGAAACTGGGATTCTGGGAGAGGAGGGAATGAATACCACGCACGGGAAATAGCCAATGAAAAGGTGTGGAGATGAGGGATGGAGTGTTATATGTGAAGAACAGTAAGAAAGCCAGTGTGGCTGCCCTGTAGAATGTGGGAAGGGGTATAATGTAGGATAAGCATGAATCAAGAGTGGGAACCAATATTAATGTTTCCAGGCATCAGGACTTGTTTATGTCTTATATATGACTTATGTATGACTCTTTTTAGCCCACCGGTGCCTTGCACGGGGTGGTCAATCAGTAAATGCTTCCTGAGCGAATGAGTAGAGACTCAAAAGAGATTGGAATTTGTTGGCCAGTCTGGACGGAGTATAAGGAATTGCCCCGTGCCTATGCTGAGGGGAGTGTGGTGCAATGGAAAGAGCCCTGGGATTAAGACGTTGGATCTGGGCTGGGTCTCTTGGAGTCAGTCACTTTGCCTAGGAGTTTCCTGTGAGATGATCTCTGAGGCCCTTCCCAGCTCTGACACTCTGAAAATGAAGCCACACCCAGACTGGGCTGTGACTTTCACAGCCCAGGACCCGGCCTGAGGGAGCCCCGTTCATATTTCTTTCCAGAAGGCTTCTTAGCTAACGCCGCCTCCCTAATGGGCTTCTTTGGAAGGAGTCAGGAACTGAGGAGAAATGAGTCTGAACCAATCAATGGCTCAACGTTAGAGACGATTCCATCTGGTCGGAGCTAAGGGCACGGTCCTGGTACCCCGAGCCTGGGGAACTTGGCTTTGCTAAGCCTGGCTTTTATTCCAAACTAGAAAATGGGGATAGGAAATCTTGGCTCCCTGTCTGCTTTAGACAATGAAGGAAAAAAGCTTTTTTGGTGAGGGGAAGGCG